CGAACAAGTTGTATAAACGCATGTTAAAGGTGCCTCTGGTGAGCTGTATAAACGCATGTTAAAGGTGCCTCTGGTGAGCTGTATAAACGCATGTTAAAGGTGCCTCTGGTGAGCTGTATAAACGCATGTTAAAGGTGCCTCTGGTGAGCTGTATAAACGCATGTTAAAGGTGCCTCTGGTGAGCTGTATAAACGCATGTTAAAGGTGCCTCTGGTGAGCTGTATAAACGCATGTTAAAGGTGCCTCTGGTGAGCTGTATAAACGCATGTTAAGGTGCCTCTGGTGAGCTGTATAAACGCATGTTAAAGGTGCCTCTGGTGAGCTGTATAAACGCATGTTTAAGGTGCATCTGGTGAGCTGTATAAACACATGTTAAAGGTGCCTCTGGTGAGCATTATATAGTTTTATTCAAGGAGTTCAATAAATTAAGTATTGAATCTAAACGATGTAAACTATTCTATTTATCTTAATCCTAAGATAATGAACTGTTTACAGTGAAAAATAATCACTCTTTCATTGACGAGCATATACATATAGTGTTAGGCATCCTTACACTATATTTGTATTAAGCAAATGACGTCACAGGCCGTGTAGTACCTTTTTTACGGAGTCGCAAAGCGTGATTGGTGGGCGATAAAAAATCATTAAATACATGAATAACAATTCATTTCCGCCAAAAGATTATTGATAAATTTATTTAACGTCATTTGATTTTGTGACATCACATATAGCATTTTTAACGGATGGGCCTTTTTAAGGCTGTTATATTCTATACATAAATGTTTTTTCTTCTTAAAATTAGTGTCAGCATTTAAATAATTTTATTTTGATGTTGTCAGACGATCCTAGATGACTCTGCTTCAAGCAGTCCACTTATAAACTTCAAGAAGGTCAAGAAATGAATTTATAAATAAGTTCAGCCCCAGCTACGTTAATATAAGAGACATGTTACTTTTAAAAAGACGCATATAATAGACCGAGATTTTAAAGATGGCGAAACAATGCAAAATAAAGTGTGCTATATTTTTGTTGTTGATTGTATTATTATGTGCAAAAAGAACAGCAAAATGACAATAAGAAAAAATATATTGTAATTAATATCCGTGATTTGATTTTTTGTTACCTTAACATAAAATGACATAATTATTTGATGCACGCAAAAGCAGTGTGCATGTGTTTGTGTGAGTGCGCGCGCCCGCGTGTGTATGTGCGCGCGCATGTGAGTGACAAAACAATCCTTGACGCATAATAAGAAGTACAGTGCAGATCGAGTGTTCTAAAAAATAGACAACAACGAGGTTTATTTGAAGATTATTCCATCACTCTGCTTTCCAATGAAAAAGAATCATACTAAAAATATTACGTATAATAAATTTATGAGGTATTTTGCAATGGTATTTTTACACACAGGCAATTCCAATTTCTGTCAGTATATCAAAACACATGAATTACCTCTCCTGAAGGCTGTCTCAAACTTTCATAACTGAAATCTAAAACTAAACTTGTTTAGCTTTTTTATCTTTTGTTTTTTAAAGTTTAAACATATTTTATTGCATATCTATACATACATAAATTTTCACAATTATACATAAATACATTAATGTAAATATACAAAAGGGTTGGGCCAAAAGTTATAACAACATTATCGGGGGCCCTCCCCTGAAATACTGACTGCAATGTTATTTAAATATAGAGTAAAGTATGATTAATTAAGTTGAAATCTAAGAAAAAAATAATTACAAAAAAAAAATGTAAATAAATATATTTTATCTTTTGTAGGGTATATACTTGTATATTATGTTGTTGTTTTGTTATTTTTGTTTCACCTCGTTATTCATTTTCTCTAGGACGTATGTTTAGCAAGCAGTAATTATTATTGACAAAATGGTATTGATGTATATGCTGACGTCAGCAAATAAACAGGTTAATTATTTTGCATCTGCCATTTATCGCGCCTTACGATAAATAGTTGCGATTATGACGTAACTGCATATTTATATATTACATATTAATCAATATTATAGCAATATAACGAACCTTGTTCGTTGACCTTCAGTTTCTGTTATTAATTTTGATATTGCATTTATTTGAATGATACTTAGTGCTCAACCAATGAAATCGCTCCAATTTTCAAAAAAAAATGACATTCTTATCGTATAAACTTGAAAACTTTGTCGCTTATTCATGAACACTAAATAATTCACATTATGCTTATATGTTCATAGTCGAGATGAACTGAAATGACAATGTATTGACAACAAAAGGTTATTGATTAAATGGTGATTGACCAACAGTTCATATTGGAAAATGATAAAATTTCAATAGGCCTAAAATATAAAAGACTGCTCCACTCTCTTTATGAACTGAACGTTACAGGTAAATTCTAATGGATATTCACGAAAAAATCGTTTGAATCAATGCATTGTTTATTGTTTAAGTAAAATAATTTTTAATTTTTCAAGGAATTATGGCTCAAAAGAAAAATTATTTTGACTGTCACCAGTTCACTCATTTATACCCTTGGATGGGCATAATGTCACTTTAATTGTTAAAATTTCACTTGATATACATAGTTCTTTGTTTAATGTTCGGCGCATTATTTGGTCACTACCCACCCACCTCCCCTAATTGCCCCGCCCTTTAACCCACTCTACAACCCTCTTACCTCTCCAAAACAATGTAAACTGCATTTTTTGCTTCATTTTGAATATGTTTTAAGAATTGATATATCCCAAGATTTCGGATCACGAGTGCGTACATATATGCCATTCATTTTATCAGCGCTCATCTTAATGTGAACTACATAACACCAAATTTTAAAATCATGGTGCCAAATGATAGGGAATTGATTATTTATTATTTATATTATAATAACAGACATTCCATATATAAACCAATTCACTTAAGCTTCAGTCTAAAAATTTTAACAATATTGAGTAGCTTGTATATTAAATGAGAAACTATTAAAAAAATTGGAATGCACATTTTGTCTCAGAACTTTATACATTTTCATTATAATACACGTTTTTAATAAGATGATTTACAATTTATGAAAGTAGCATGGAACACTAAGTCATACAGGCAGCAAAAATTATACAAATGGTATTTTAACTTCCATATAAAATACTAATTCACTATAATTATACAAATTGTCAACAGAACAAAGAAAGCAAAAGATAGTTCATCTATGCGGAATAATGAGTATTTATATCATACTGTAACGAGTTAACAAAACAAAATGGTTATGAGGATTAACAATTATAGTATATCTTAGGCATAATGGACCTATAATGTAAGTAAGTCTTTAACACAACTTCGAGAAATATTTTTCAATGGAAAATTTATAATAATTATAGTTGACATTGTTAAGTAATTATTGATTATCAAATAATACTGTTACAACTATTTCCTCGATTACATTTGTAATTTAGTTTCAACAATCATATGCATCTCGAACATAATTATTCCATTTTTGGTTTACAATGATTCTATTTATTCTTTTCTCGTTATCAAAGCAAATCAATGTAGATTTTAGCACATTTAAACATTTCCGAAGACTGAATTGAAACACTTTCTGTTACAGCACAACAACAAACAAATTTGTTTTACTTTCATTTGGTTCTTGAAGTGGCTCTTTACATTACAATGGAATAATTTAACCTTCATTTAGATTGATAGAATATAATACAATGGTTTTACATCAAATATGCTTGGATTGCAATACGACCGTTCATTCGAAACTCACTGTGAATTTAAAACTCAAATCTTTTATTTTTGATTTAAACATATATCGTTTTTTTTCGGAATGTTTTGCCCGTACATTCGAAACTCACCTTCCGCATTTTCGAAGCTCATTGGTTTTGTTTTGTTTTTGATGTTTTGTTGTTGTTGTTTTTTTTTTGTTTTTTTTTTTTTTTTATTTTTTGTTGTTTTTTGGTTGTTTTGTTATTTTGAAGGTAGGGAGGTTTGGGGGTGTTAATCAGTATGAAATAAACTTTTATAATACTGCACGTCTTTGGCTTTTCATTTGATAATAGACTTTATACACGGCTACTGTCAACTGACGAAGTAAATTCCTTTATTTTTTCAATAATAAAGAAAATTTTCAATATATTGATTCTCGACATGTTATATGGCCGTATATAAAGGGCTGTTTGCAATTTAACTCTCTCTTTGTGGCTCGTGTAATACATGGTTGTGGTGTTGGTAGTTTACTTTCAGGACCTTGACAGAAGGCCCTTTGAATTAGCCATAATACTGTTCAGTGACCGCATTATAACAGAACTAGTTGCTTTCACTTTTACTTGTATCGACGGTACACAGTAACTATTGAGGTAACAGAACGGTTTTTCGGGTAATACGTTTATGTCAACATTTTTATGTTTATAGTTGGTCAAACAATCTGTAAAAATCTTTTCTTTAATTTATAACACATCGTTTTATAAATTAATAAAACATAATGTTATATTCTAATCTTATTAGCTGTGGATGAAAAACTTAAAAACTTGCCGATGATTATTTGGCAGAATACCAGTTTACAAATCAGCCGCATATCCGAATTCATTTACCGTATATTTCGAATTTCATTGACCACATACATGAAACATCATTGTATTGCTCTTTTTTACAACAGTTTACTATGATATCATTTGTTACACACTTTATTTCAGATTAAAGATAATCACATCATGTGGATATAATGTTTACATTCATTTAACGACATAACAGAACCTGAATTAATTGACATCATCCTAAATTTATATTTGAAAATTTATAAAATATTAGTCTATATTAGGCATCAAATGAATAGTTCCACGACGACAACGGTTTCAGGTTACGTAAAATTATATACATTGCGCTTGGTAGTAATACCGTTTAAAAGTAATTTCCGATAAAAGCCACCATGCTAGAGATCTAAATGAAACATTGTTTCCATGGTAATGATTTCTACATTATAATAATACAGTCTGTTGAAAGAGAACCAATATTTGTACAATAACATTCGTTGACGTCTAATGTATACACAGTTATTAACAATCTTTTTAATAATAACATTTTTATCATGGAAATATTTTTGGAATTAAAATACAGTTAGTCATTTTAATTTACACATGGATAGTTGGCATTAAATGAGGTATATAACAATAATTATTTCTCAGTGAGTGATTTTGAATAGAGTTTTTTATCATTGTCAATATAACCAAACTTAATTTTAGTATTGGTTAAAAAGCTTTTAAATGATTTTACTAGTATAATTATTATGTTAAATTAATACGGTAATAATGTTATATCATTTTTAAATCAAGCACGAAAGGTTGATTTATATCATTATTTTTTTTTAATTTCTTAAAATGTGCAGTTAAATTAGAATTACATTTATTTCAAAATGGGTAACAGTGAAAAGAAATTCTTGTATTCAAAATAATGTCTTTCAACTGATTTGAAAACAAAATATATTGGAGAAAAATGTAGTAGATAAAGTCCAAATTTAAAAGTTCATAAAATATATTTGGCTTAATATTTAATTTATGAAGAAAAAAGATAAAGTTAAAAAAAAACTGTAAAATAATTTGTGTTCTATAGTTTAACTAACATATCAAAATATGATGGTCCTTTAATTCGTGTTCATACTTTTTTTGATTTACTGTACATATTTATCATTTCACATAATAACCTCACAACATTAAAAGGAAACTTAACTGATACTAAAATGTGAAAAAGTGAACGCAATTTAATACTTTTGCCTGATTTTGTAATTGTATAATAAAATTTTCTTGTAAGGCTATTGTTATTACTGTTCTTTTTGTTGTTGATTTTGTTATGGAATACAAAAACGTGCTCGTTTAAAAAGTTAATTGATGAAAGTGTGTATAAATATTTTTTGTTTAACCGGTGTAAAATTGTTTCATAATTGCAATTGACATTTTCAGCATTTTGTCAAAACAAAAGTTTGCATTGTTCAAAATTGGTAAAAAATGTACTTTTAAAATTATACTATAAAAATGATTTTGAACTGCTGAATATGTTGACTTCAGTCATTAACGCAAAACACGTGTCACTATTATAAGTATAATGTTTTTACGTAACGCGCTACAAGCAGGGCGTTGTTCATTCTCTTAAACACCGGTTTAAGATTTAGGCGGGATTGGCATGAAAGAGCATTAATTTAACCGATTTTACATAAAATAGAAAGAATATCTAACATCAAGTTCACGTAATGTTCTTGTGTAACTGCCGTTTATCTATCATTAGCAAATAAACTTGTTAATTTTGACGTTGCGACAAATACGCTTGTAAGATTATTTATATCTCCAAGTCAACTAAGGGACTGCGGGTTCGATCTATACGTGCCTCAAATGAAACGAGCACTAGTTAGTTCAAGGAAGCTGACTTGAGTATGGTTCAAAAATGGTTGTGTTGTTGTTGTTGTTTTGTTGTTGTTGGGTTTTTGTATATGATTGTTGTTGTTGTTGTTGTTTTATTTTCAAAGTTTGTATAAAAATCCATAAGAAATAAATAGGTAAATGCTAAACTGTATAAACACCGGAATGAATGATTAACAAACAAGCAAACTGTTTTCAGATAACTTTCGACATTACTGTAAAATCAATTACAATTATTTTGTTCTGTTTCTTTTATTTAAAAAGTAGCAGAAATTCAGTCATATTCAGAAATTCCCAGAACCTTAAATATGAATCAGTCGTAGCTATTCTATCAAACATGATACCTTGTCAAAACAAAAAATAGGTTAAGATATTAATCCAAATATTTATAAGCCCTCAATCGAAATTAAAACAATTTTTGTGTGTTTGTTGTCTATTTTTATTGAATACAAAATTGTAAAAATAAGTTAATAACCTTAATTATATTAGGCACAGTTAAAGAAAACGGTTTCAAAATCTTTTGCAATTATATGCTTGATAAAAAAACAAATTTAGATATTTTACAATATGTAAAAAAGTTAATTTAAGCATATTCTATTGTGTACGTATATATATACATACATGAATTTTCACAATTATACATAAATACATTAATGTAAATATACAAAAGTGTAAATAATAAAATTCTATATCTGACACTTGTAAGAATATGTTTTTTTAATATTCTCTCCAATGCTAGATGTGTTTTTTAATTCAGAAACAACTTTTAAAGCAATTGTTCTTTTTTGTCTGTGTCCAAAATTGACTTTTATTCCGGCAGGAGAGTGCAGGCAAAATTATCTAAACTGTTTCAAAAACGAAAAGAAATGGAATATAACAATTCGACAAAAACAAATGGGTTGTTGCATATAACCTCTTAGACAAAATAATCGCAGACTAACATTTGCAAATCTGAAAACGCACATCTTGCACTAAATGAGTACTCTGTCAATAGGATTGTACTTTTGATAAAAAAAAATCCCAACTCGTTATGAAATGACAATGCAAGCGGCCACGGTATGCGTAGACATTGCCTCTAAGATATATCTAAAACCTATTTCCAGACAGACTCATAGTTTGTTTCTTACAACGACGACCCTAATCTAATTGTGTAGACACTTAATGTCATGAAAATCTTCTCCTAATTACGTTGTGATTCTTTTTTTCCAGGCCGCCGTAGGGACTATAACTCAAAGATGAAAAACACGGAGCAGCCTCTTGATAGTTTAAAAACTCTATTTTATAACCGAGATGATTATTCAAGCATTGGTTTGCGTGTAGAAAAATGTAATTCAAATAGCTGATGATATTTTGTTTAAAATAATGATACCAGTTTTCAATGGCAGAGAGTTGTTTAAATTCGGGTATTCAATGGCTTATATTTTGTACTTTGTGATAAATCTAAGGTTCACAAATGGATTGAGTTATGGTGGAAATAGTTCGTATATTTGTGAAAATTCTACTATCACATCTGAAAGTGGAGTTTTGTACAGCTCTAATTATCCGGACCTTTACAACAATCAGGAGAATTGCGTAACTAATATACAGGTGCCAAGTGCCTTTCAAATAGAGATAACCTTTGAAGTCTTCCAAACAGAATCATTCACAAATCTAAACTTGCAAAACGAAATGTGTTCATTAGATTATTTAGAGTTAGTTGTAAATAACGAATCTAGACGACTTTGTGGAGATTGGACAGGCAAAGAGCGAATGCTATACTTTGTTTTCAACACGCCGTTAGTCAGCATCCGGTTCCGGTCAAATGACCGAATTTCAAAACGAGGCTTTGTATTAAAATGGGACGCTACCTCTACTAACGCTACAAGTGAAATTTCAACATGTAGAGATTCTTTGTTTGAGACTGCTACCTCATGTTATGAAATGGTATCCTTACCCGAAAACTGGCTTGATGGACATAATATATGCAGACGACGTGGTGCGTACCTCGCGAAAATTGATGATGTACACACCCAAAACGAGTTAGAAAAAAGAATTATGAAAAGGTAAGAAACAGTCAAAAAGAGCGATTTCTTCGTAATGTTATTGAATATAATTCATCCGTCAAATTGCTTAAGAGGTTTTATCTTCTTAAAATCTTATTTTAACAAAGTCATTTTAAGTCATAACAGAAACAGTGTCTATAGAAACGTATTAATAACTTTCAGTTACTATAGAGGAATGAAAACAGTTAAAATTGATTAAAAACCTGTGTGATATTGTTAAATTAGAGTATGGTTTTCTTTGGTGTTCGTTTATATTTTCCAATACCTTTTTGATTTTTTACTTTTATACGCAGACGACATCTGCTTTTATCTCATTTCTGTATTTACTACATTTGTATTACGGAAGATAAAATGTGCTTGGTGAACTTATAAACATAAACGAGAATTATATAGGTATGGCAGTTGCAAACCTGGGAATAATTACAATTAATTGATATTTTATAAATATCAATGTATAACTGTAAAACAAAATGTAAACTGTATCATGTGAAATAAGAGCATCCTTTGAATTTAAAGAGTTTCTTGTTAAGACTAATAGTAATCAATGTCAATCAAATTGTAATCATCACAATCACTGCCTGAATTTAAGCTGTAATTGGTTAGTTACAATTAATATAATTAATTTTGGAAGGCAATCAATTACATGATGATTACAGTGTAATCATGCAATCGATTCAAAAATCGATGATTACCCCAGGACTGGTCAGTTAACACATTTCCTTTCGCACTATATATACAAGTATATCTCATTTATTAACTGTTGTTCATAAAGCAAAAAGGCGCTTTGTATTTGAAATTACCAAAACCCACACCCGCACCGCTTAAATAGTATTACTTTGCTTCTCTTTATAAGTAAAATTTTATCGTTTAAGAATTATAGAGATCTTCAATCGTCATGCTGGTACTAGTAGTTTATAGTTAAATCTAAATTAGAGAAAATAATAAGATTACTTATTAAAATTAACTCTGCGAGATGAAAGCCAATACATTATAATTGTTTCTATAGCAATTATGATTGATTTATGAAGCAGCATGAGCGCTTTTTTTTAAAAAAAATATCTAAGATTCATTTCACACCATGATTCCCATTAACCGAGAAGTCTGGCCATGTCATTTCTGGGTTCTATAAAACGAATCTGGTTTACTGAAGAAATACAATTAAAAGAAAATGATATTGAGTGTAGAAAGTAACCGATTTCATGTAGAGCGGCATTCAAATCAAGTATATTTTAATCAAGACTTATTACAACAATACAACAAAAGAATAAATCTTGCTTCAGATTGAAGTTTTGAACTTATTGAATTATACTTACGAAAAGAAAAGAATATAACCTTCATTCTGCTTTGTTAATAAATATGCTTATAAAAATAACGTACAGAAGCTGTCGGTTCTTCAATAGATTAAACTGGATTGGTTCACAATGAAAAGTTTGCAATATCATAAATAATTATATTGATATTTTAGTATAAAGAATCATTTGTGACAACACACAATTAAGAAAATATATTGCTTTGTTAAAAGGTGAGAGGTACATTACATATCTTTAAACTGAAGATAAGAAATTGTTCTAGAAGAAAATATAATTATTTATACAAAGATGGTTACACTAAACGACTTTGAAATAAATTAATATTGTTTGTATAAGAAATATTTTATGAGAGTATCCAAAATGATATATTTTAATGTTGTTATCAATAATTGAAATACTTATGAAAGAAAAACGTCAATTGTCAACCAATCCTTTTCTAATATAAAATATGCCCATTTTAGACCAATCCATTTTAAATATTTTGGAATATGCCCACTGTAGACCAATCCATCTCAAATATTTAAAATATGATAATTGTAGATCACTCCACTTTAAATATTTAAAATATGATAATTGTAGATCAGACCACTTTAAATATTTAAAATATGCCCACTGTAGACCAATCCACTTTAAATATTTAAAATATGATAATTGTAGATCACTCCACTTTAAATATTTAAAATATGATAATTGTAGATCAGTCCACTTTAAATATTTAAAATATGCCCACTGTAGACCAATTCACTTTAAATATTTAAAATATGATAATCGTAGACCAATCCGCTTTATATATTTAAAATATGCGTGAAAGAACTTTCTGAATCTTGGCATTTAGATCATTCTTACAAGCTAAATGATGTCATTCATCATAGTTGTGTTTGTGTTTTTGATTAAACATTGAATATTCTGAGTATTGTTTTCGAGTCTTATTACCACATTTTGAAATACCTTGAAAGATTACTATTTGATCATTTCCTGTACTTTATTCAGTCAACTGATTTCAATTGAACTCTCACAGGAATTTTACCATGACTTTACATTTGGATTTACATACTTGATAAAGAAACATTTTCACTAGGACAGTAGACCGGAATGAAAAGACCTGTTTTGTTTATAATTTCCTGTTACTCCTTTTTCAATTAGATAAATCAAGATCATTGGTTTAAAATTTTAGTTTCCTTTAAACGCTGTACGTACTTTTTGTCTTCGACTTTGTCATTTGAAACCAAACGACATTTATCAATATATATTTACATATAGAAATGTTGGTATGACAACGGGCGAGCAGGAGAAAATGTGTTCTTACATAAGCTTATACTACAAGTTATGTCTAATTCAATAAAAAAAACAAATTCTATAATAATCATTGCATCCATTTATAGATATAAAGGCTATAAAATGATCAATTAACGTAGCATAGATTATCCCTAAAAGGCATCTGCAATATATTGATGATATGACAGTGCGTTTTAGTCGCACATTATTTATACTTGTGATTCTCACGTTGTATTTTTACATTGGTACGCGAAAGTAGCAATTTCGCAATTTTTTTTGTATCGCGAAAATAAGTGATTTTACCAGAATAATTTGCTATCTTTATCGGTAGCTAGAATTATGTCATATTATGTTAAATTAAGATTTACTTCAAGTTATTGAGTTCTACGTTTGTCAATTTATGTTTGTCAGTTCTATGGTTGTCAATGTTTTGTTTAATGTAGAAATTATACATTAACTATTCAAATATATTTCACTAAAGAAGACAATTGAAACAGAAGCTTTGATTTAAGCCATATAGCACTGTTGCATAAAATTTTGTTTTTGCTACCATTGAAATACAACGGTCAGCTGCTTGTTAACTTTCTTATTAATGAAGCACGACTGAGGACATAAAATTAAACGTCTGACATAGATCAACTGGACTACTCAAATATTATAGTCACATGAGAATAGTGTGAATTTCAACTTATCACATTAAGAATAAATAATTGTGTTCTATTTTTAGCCATTTGCATTCCCATGCTATTTGGATAGGGGCCAATGACCGTTTGTTCGAAGGTAATTTTATGTGGCCAGATAGATCTGCAATAACATTTCATAGTAAGTAATTTTAGCCTATATTTTACCCGTGGTTATTGATCCTATATATATTACGTTATTAATAACTTATTTTCTTATAAAACATCTAATAGCCGCTTTTGAACTGTACTTTGTCTCCGTCTTATATGTTTTTTCATTTGACTCGGTAAGATCCAATAATGCCTGTATTAGATTGTTGCACAGCATTAACATTTCGAATTTTCGATATACATGGACTGACAACGATAAAAGCCGTTATCGAAAAAATTTGAAATCTGTTAAAAAACATTGAGCATTCCATCCCGTGCTCTGCAAGCTTGTCCTGTTTTAAGATGTTCTAAGCAAATGCATTTCTTCATTGTACAATAAGAAATAATGATCTTTTTTTCAGAAAAACCTTTTACTCTTCTATTCGATCATCAAAATAAACTTTAAGCATCTATTGGACATGTTTGTCTTAAAACAGTATTATATTTACATTTTCGTTCATGCATTGTTAATTAGAGATCAGTCAAAGATTGCTTTTATGTGCATTATGTCATAATAATTTACATTTTTGCAAGTTTTATTGCTGCATGTTTTGTATGTTTAACGTTGAACTGTTGTTTATCATAGAATGGTTTCCGGGTTGGCATCATTTTAACAACAGTATATCACGACACGCTAGACAACCAAGCGATGACGGGTATTCGGATGAAGACTGTGTTGAAATAAGACGAGTCTTTGCATATCCCGGCAAAGGAGCCGGTCAAACGAGCTCATTTTTTTGGAATGACAGGAATTGCGAAGAAAGAAATCCTTTTCTTTGTCAATATGATAAACATATCAGTAAGTCAAAGTGTGTCCAACATACTTCCATGATAATTTTCCAGTTATAAGTTTGTGTTTATTTGTTATGCTGTGGGCTATGTTTGTTACAAAAAGCTAATTAATATCTTACGGTATTTCTAGACAATTTAGCATCACTCATACGCAAAGCGGTAAAGACTTTTGGCCTATTGAAAGCAAAATCAATTCTTTTAAATTGTTATTTAGTAGAAAAATGATCAACTCAAACGTTAGCTTTTCGCAATTCCTCCTAGTCGTACTTTAAAATAAGACAAATTTTACATTTTTTCCCTGCCGTGCTTGCATTTAAAGTACAACAATACCTACATTTCTTCCCAGCCGTGCAAGACATAACCTATATTCTTCCCAGTCTTGCTTTGACTTCAAATACGACAATACATATATTTCCTCCAGCCGTGCGTTTATTTTAAGATCAACAATACATGCATTTTATCCCAGCCGTGCTTTAAATTAAAAAGACAATATATACATTTCTTCTCAGTCATACTTGAATTTAAAGTACAATAATACCAACATTTCTTCCCATTCGTCCTCTTATTTAAAGTAGGACATTAACTTACATTTCTTTCAGTCATGTTTCAATTTAAAGTACGACAATACCTAATTTTTTCCCCATTCGTACTTTTATTCAAAGAATGATAATGCATTTTTTCCAACCATGCCTTAAATGAAATTACGACAATATCTACTTTTCTTTGCTGCCGTGCTTTAAATAAATGATGTCATAAAATTCGTTTAACTATATAAACTAATATAACTTTTTATGTTATAAAATTAATTGACGTCTACATTAAAAAGTTTCATTCTGCACCGCACAAGTTTGCCCTGCTTCCAGTTAAACTTAAATGTACATTATGACATAAATAACATCTCTGTCTCCCAAGAATCAGCAGACGACTAATAAAATCAAAATGTAATGGAAAACTATTATACATGTTTTTACGACCACTGTACATTTGTAACATAAATATTTTTATAGTGTTACCGAAACACTTCAAGCCAATTGTGAAAATGAGATTAAAGTTACTGTAGAACATTTTATCTGCTTCAAGCAAAATATAAAAACCATTTAGATCCATCTTTAAACAAGGGAAAATTTTAGGTGGCTGATTTGTGCCATGTCGTATTTTTGCTCTGCAGGGCGCCAGGTGATAACACGATAATACATAAATAATAAAGTTTTCACGCCATGCGCGTTGCGTTGCAAAAGTACGTGAAAGTCACCATTTTGTCGCATTTTCTTGTTTTTTCGACTTTGCACACCGCGGAGCGAAAGTTCAATGAATTGTTGACTGTCGCATTATCGATTTTTTGTCCAGCGCCCCGCCGAGCCAAAATACAAAATGGCACACATCAGCCGCCATAGAAATTAGATAATTGAATTTTGTCCTAATTTATATCTTCATTGATTTGAATTTGACTTTCCGCTCAATTTCCTTTTTATCAAATCGACTGCATTGTTGCAATTTATTTTTCTTTGAAATAGCATCCATGTATTTGAGAAATGACAAAGTAATCGTTTCACGAGAAAAATAGTTAAATGTCAATTTTCTTAACATCTATTCATATGTAAACAAGTTTAATGAACATTAAGATATGAGTAAAGGAAATACTGTATATAAAACATATATAAAACATGCTTACCAACTATTTTCAGTGAAATTTGCATAAACACCATATACAGGAGGACAAGTATCTCTTCCCTTTAAAGTAACACCATTTAGAAAGCAACAAAAATTGTCAAAATAAAGCTCTTAAAATAGAAGGATTATTACAATAAATTGAATTTCAAAAGCAATTCATCTTAGCAAATTTAATCAAGGGCAACACTCGAGAAATGAGACTGGCAAAATGCAAGGAAATTTGATTCCTTTAAGCAAAAGCAAGGCAACATTTATTTCCATTATTCCCTCTGCTGGTTCTTCATTGATTTTCACACAAACACACACATGTTCAGTAGTCATGTATCTAAACTAGTTGATTTAAGTTGGATCTTCATTCCAACTCCGAATCATTTTCGCCTCATATAACAATAGTTTAACCATTTTCAAATTTACAAAATTCAAAAAAAAACAAAAAAGGGTGAAATAATGTTGTTAGATTTTTTTTCATTTTAAATAATTAAAAAGACCGGAACCGAAAAGAAAGTAAAAGACAAATTTGAAACTCTCGATTAATTTTTAAACAAAAAAGTACGGGGTTTTTTTCCCTTTAATGTTATTTCCCTTGTACTGTAATGGGGGACTTTTTCCGTGTATGCGGGTTATTCTTAATTTTGGAAATATATTTCCCTTAAATAGTTTTAATTTCCGACCAATGGTTGAATGCTTGCAAATTCTTTTCAAATTGTTCATTAGAAACCGTACAAGTTCTTTTTATAATCAATTATGTCACATTGTAAAATTCTCCCACGATTTTTTTCTCCTGTTTTATGAAAATGGGGTTTTAATTCCACTGGAGCTCCCATGGGACCCGTAAAGCCCAATTGGAGAATGAAAAGAAACAACAAAAAAACATGGGATGTCACATTTTGAATGCTTGCCCAGCGCTTAATGTGTGTGATATCTTTATACATGTATAAACGGCCAATTATCGTCTATTTCCATCCAAATTACTGTTTGATTCAACTTCATGTATTAAAACTATATAAAAAATGTAGTTGAGTTTGCGAAAATTCCGGATTTGCAAATTTTTTCCGGAGGCTGTTGTTTCCATAATATTACGGTCCATTCTTGAAAGTTTAGTACCATATGATGTGTCTTTAATATAACATACTTGGATATTGCCTATAAATAGAATAACATGTTCCGGAACAAAATATTATACTGTTGTTTTTAGTAGGACATTTCTCGCTTCACAATGATTTCTTGCATTTGAAATTTGCCCTTTTTTAAAAAAAAATAATGCACATTTTTTATTTATTTATTTATTTTGTTAACTGCAGGCAACAGAGATATTGCTTCGTATACTTTAAGAGCTATGCAACACGAACCATCTTTGGCTGCTATAAAGATACAATTTTATTGTTGTGTTAATCTGTAATAGTTTAGATTATATTTTTTTTTTTGCTGCAATTAACTTATTTTGTAAAGTTTTATGGAATCTTTTATTTGAGTATGAATTGACTTTTCTTAAAAACAGGGAACGCCCTTTAAAACTTAATTGTTCAAGTGTGAAAAAAAAAATGGAAAATTTTTTTGTTCAGTGAGACGGTCTTCGAACTAAAAATTTTCCTTTCTAATCAATGTAAATTTTTTTTAAAAATTGATAAGAAAAATTTTCTAATCAATAGTTACAGAGTGTGATGAAAATAACACATTATGTCCTATTTTGTTAAATACATCGAACAGTGAATTGTGGTTAATTTATTTTACCAATTGTGGTTTCTTTATTTTAAAGTGTTTTAACAATTGTAACGTCATTATCACGCTTTGAAAAAAAACAAATACATGAATATTGTAGAAAAAAACATGTACGCCTATCATTGCTATTTTACAGGTAAAAGATCTATCAACCACGTGCCTTTACCTTGCGGAAAATTGCTCCATCTAACAGACGATACACCAAATGTGATAGTTACTTCCCCTAGCTACCCCAGGAATTACCCGCCCCTTTCTACATGTCATACTTTTGTGACTGCACCGTTCGGGAAACAGATATACATCGACTTTTTACACTTTGATATTGAGGATGCAAAACAGTACATACTTTTTCTTTTTTATTTCTTTTTCCCTCCCAACAAAAGATTACATAAATGCATGATGCAATATAAAGGAGACTTAAAGTGACATTATGCCCATTAAGTTGATTATTGTTAGTAAGCAAGTGAAAGCCAAATAAATTAACATTTTGCCATAAGTCATTTCAATTTTATAATTTACTTTGCATGAACAAAAAATAGCCCACGTGGCTCAAGGAACATTCTGTTATTTTCTGTTGGTAGTTTCCTGTATCATTTAATTTATTAAAAGAGTTTGGCAGTCTTTTTGTATATTAGGCAGGTTTTTCTTTCACACTAAACAGTTTTCAGAATATATTAACTGTTGGTCAAACACCACTATATCAGTCAATGTATTGAAATATTTAGTCAATTCAGCTCGACTTGACAATGAAAAAAAGATGAGCGTAATGTATCTTTAAATGAAAATAAACTTTCAAACAATTTTCATTAATCAATGGGTTTTTTTAAATAGTATTTTAAGCCCTCGATTGACAAAAAAGTTCTTGCAGCATACCAGTCATTTTTTGACAGCACTGGAACCAATAAGTGTTTGTGTTATATTAGGAAAAAATGAACATGAATCTGAGTTTTATCTTTAAACTACTATATACTGTATATAATGCTGAAATCTTTGCTATAATACAAACTGATTAAAATACTGACACGTGACAATTAATTTCCATTGTGGTATTGAAACAATCTTTTGTTCTGTTTTCATTGTTTATATTAAAACTGAAGTAAAAATAAATGTCTAATTTTGATGTGTCGCTTAACAAACTACAATAATAACATAAAAGACTTCTTTAAATTATTTTGATCAATATTTTCTCGCAATTGTTATAATTCGGTCGGCCTTTGTTGTGCTTCTTTCAGCAAATAATTAGAGAAATATAATTTCGTATCTTAGCATGTGAAAACATAACCCAGACATTGATAAAGGAAACCTTTCAACTTGAAAAGAAATGAAAATCTTAGCGTCTTTTATACCGTAGATTGTTCACGTGTGTCTGAGAAATGTGAAAGAAAGTCAGAGAATCCCATCCCTAATTATACATAAAACAATATCACAGGAAGTGTCTCATGAATGACCTCCCCTGGTTCTATTTTTATCTCAGTTGCGAATACGACAATTTGACGATATCTGACGTCTATCCAACAAAGAAGGATAAAAGTGTTGTCTACTGCGGAAACTGGAACCGGAAACTGAAGATTCTAAGGTGGACGTCACAAACCAACAAAGTGAGGATATCATTCCAGTGTGATAGCACCAAACACTTCTCAGGGTTTCGTCTAAATATTTCTTCTGTTGATAAATGTGAGCATTTTTTGTTGTTCGTGAACATTCTTTAAAAACACCATCTACATTATACTAAAATGCAAAGTTTTATTCCCTTATTTAAATTTAACATGCGAATTATTTTTTTTTTTTTTTTTTTTTTTTGATATTTCGAGACCAAAATGCAATACAATTCGATAATAATAGTAATAATAATAATAATAATAATAATAATAATAATAATATTATTATTATTATTATTATTATTATTATTATTACATTTTACTTTCTTTCTTATCTTAACTCTTTAGTTGTTTGATTTCCATTCTCCTGTACACTTTGAAATTGTTTATTTTGTAACAGCAATACTGTGTAACGACGCTAATTCGACCATTACGGCAGCTTATAGTGGCGGTGCTTGTTTAATACTAGCAAATGATTCAGTAAATTTTACCGAAGCAGAAGACACTTGTAGCTCTTATGGAGGTAGCGTTGTCTCGGCGGGACAATCAGAAATACTATATGCAGCAGCCGATCTTCTTAACTTAACAGAAGGTATATACTTATGTATACTAACAATAAAATAACTTTTTCTTGTCCATTTGAGAATCGCATGTTACAAAATTTTGTTTTGGATTCTTCCGCGTTTGTTGCGTGACAGCTGCAATCTTAAATATGCTTTGCGTGACAAATGATTCTACATCGTGACGCTCATTTGATCAGTTTAATGTGAGACGTATACTACATTAAACAAAATTATGATAAAACTGCTACTTAGTAATTAAGGCAAGTCATGATTTGAGTAGATTAGATAAAAAAAATGACATTTTTGTACAAAAATCAATTAGCGATATAAGATTCGCACGCCATATTTAGCTATAAGAGCATGTGCTGTTATAAATTAATGCGCTGATGAGATGTATAGATACTAAATGTTTATCATTCTTTCTCAGGATGTACAAACCTTTGGGTACAAAGAAATAGTTCCAATACCTCCACCATGGGTAAGACAATTTCGAAGACTTTTTGAAGCAATAACTTATTAAACGACCAAATTATTGACTACTACAAAAAAAGATTCACAAACATTATACAATATTGATAATGAAAAGCCATTATGAACTATTGATACAAGCCAAGGAGCATCTGCGGCTGCGTGATTAAGGCAGCTGAGTTCGAGCCAGTTGCCCTTTAAACTGTAGGTTTGAAATCCTCTAGAGACTGAGTTTTCTTTTGTTAGAAAGTTGTGCGGTAATTCTGCCCTCTCGTGCCTGAAATAATGTACGGAGGAGGCACGAGGTATTCTTCCTTGAATTTAACTTGCAGTCGCAATTTGACCTTTTTACGTAACAGTGTCATTTTTTCTTAAAATTAAACAGAAGCAATCAAAACAAGCTGAATATTTAACGAGGATTCGAACCAATATGTGTACGAATTATGGCGTACCTTGACTTGAAACTTCACAATTTCTATAAATAAACATATCGTAATTATGTCAAAAATACGATTAGATATATATACATAGATATAGCAAATTAATCTTTGTATCTAACTTTCATTTGCCGTAAACCAGTGTGATTTTTATACTGCAGATAACAAATGCGATGTCGTTAAAATCTGTGAAAGTCACGGTAACCAAGACAACGTTCTGCTAGATTATGACACTGTCGTCACACAAGTACAATGTTCATCTCTAAACCAACTCATCTGCCTAAAACCAGCTAAACGTAAATATTTCATCCTAGATTACTTTTTGTTATCCCATTTGTCATTTGACATTACGTTTTTAGAGGCATTTGTGCATGAATGGATTTCCAACATTGATGTTATCATTTGAACTGTTTCACTTCTTAAAAAGAGGGAAAAAACTCAGGAGCAACGGAAAAGCGCATTGAATTTAATCATGAGAGATTATAGCAAAGGCGGCATTCACACAAACGCCCCCTCCCTGGCACCGACCGAAATGGCAAAGTTATCTACTATTTAAAGTACATTTGCAATATTGCAAGAAAATATTAATATTATTTAACAATCTGCATTCAAGTTCTAAAATAGATTTGTTGCTTCATCACTGTAAAGTGATTGTGGATGTGATTTTGTTTAATCTGAACTTTAATATCAATTGCGAACCTATTGTCATCAATCTGCGCAATACTCAAATCGTAATCGACCCCCCCTGATAATAATTTAATGGATCTCTGAACGATTTAATGGAGAATATAATGTAAAAGCATGCAGCTCATATTAATTTACAAATACATTTCCGTTAAAAGGGCATCATTAATAATTAAAGCACTTTCGTCTAACATCACTTTTGATCTGCTCAAGTGTGATACTCGTATTGCTGAAAATGCAAAATTTTAATTACAAAATTTACTTTATAATTTAGATTTAGACGCTAAGTATGGTCTAAGTAGAATAATGCTGAAGTATTCAAAGGAACTTCGTTGAATTCTAAAGGCATTAAAACATAAAAAAATAATACCTTACTAACTTAGTTCACCTGGGACACGTAAAACAGAACGATATGCGAAATATACCCAAAAAATTATTTTGTTTAATTCGATCTAAAAAAAATAAGTAATCCATTTCTACAGTTAAGAATTATTTCCTTATAGTAGCATTTCATTCATTCGCTTATAAGAGGAGAGTAACATTATCCTAAGCAGACAACTCATCAATATAAGGTGTTGGAAAGGCGCCATTTCTCTCCTACCTCATCATGGGTTGCAGTATAGGTAGTTTTGAGCAACTGTGCAAACACTAAAAATTTAAGCATGATATGCAAGATAAATTAAAAAATAGTGTAGGTATAGGACTCACACACACGCAAACCATCAACAGCCTCTCAGGAATAATCTTTATTTACCGTCATAAATAACCGCATTTCCGAAACATATGTTTACAATAACATCATTGTTTTATATGTAAACGCTACCGTTACATGTCCCTATAAATGTTTTGGGACCATGATAAGAGCCAATGTTGTTTTTTTTGTATTTTAGTGATTTGAAGAGAACATTATTACTTTATACATGTGTTTTTTCCAGACATGAGAAGAAGCCAATCAAATCAGACATCCACAGAAGCTAGCGGACAACTAAACACATACAAAGTCGATCGTAGCAACTATAGTAACAACATTGACGCCTTTTATCATTTCAAGGTAGAAGATGGTTATCGAATGATCTTTGAGCTGTTATCGTATGACATTGAATTTCAAGACTCTTGTTTGTACGATTTCATCGAAACCAGTGGAATGACAAATGACAAAAGATATTGCGGAAGAGGTGAAAAAATAGAAACTTTGATAACCAAATCTTCGACTGCAATCATCCGGTTCAAAACGGACGATGATGTCACAGCAGGTGGATTTAATATAAGATGGTACAGTGTGAAGCGTGGAGAAACATTTCAAATAAACAGAGGTGACGATGAATCTATTGTTACTATGCATTCGGTAAATTACCCTAATGTGTTTCCTGATAAAGTAAAAAATTGCTCAAGTGTTTTTGTACCTGACAATGCGCGTTTACTTGTTACAATAAAAGATATCAATCTACCTGGAGAGAGTTGTAAAGATAGTATGTTTGAGATTTTATCAAATTCAACCGTAACTAGGCGTTTTTGTGGTGGAACGACATACAATAGATTGAATTATTTCTCTCAATATATACTGACTGAAAATGGGAACATTTCTTTCTGTCTTGATGCCCCACAGTTCAAAGAGGGAGAAGGCATCCTTATGCAATATCATAAAGGTCGGTGTCTTTTTTTTAGACTTATGTGTTGTTGTTTTTTTGTTGCTGTTGTTGATTTTTATCGTTGTTGTTTTTGTTTAGTTATTTTTGTTTTCCTTTGTTTTTAAATTTTTATTTATATGTTTGACACATCAGTAATATTATCTATTTAGTTATATTTATAAAGAATAATTTCAAAACTATTTATAATAGCTTCGACCCGGTATTTGAATCGGACCCGAATCATCTAGACCCTATCCACCCGGGTCAGCTTGACCGATGTTAATATTACAGGTAATACTTAATAAAGAAATGCGTCATCTTACAATTAGATGAGAACTTTTTAATATTAGGATAATGTTTTTGTATTATATTTGTACGACTGTTAAAAGCTAGTGTTGTGTTTTTATGGCATGATATTGTTTTACAAAACATTAGTACTAATATTACAAAGATATCAATTCTTGTTTTGATAACTAAATGATTTTTTTAATTTGTTTAAGAAATAATCATTATAATCATCTTCACCATCACCATCTACATTTTCAACATTTTCGTCATCATCATTATTATTGTTCTAATTATTGTTGTTATTTTGGGGTTTATAGTTTGCAATGTAATTTATTATACACGTACTGGTTTAAAACAGTTTCCTGCGTTTTTCACGGTATTGCGCGAAATAGAGTTAATTTACTGTTTGAATATAGACCAAGTGTTGTTTCAATTTTCATCTTTTGATATATAAAAAATACTTTCCCCGACACTTGTTTAAATTTGTTTGGAAAACAAAACCACCTGATAAAATAATCAGTTAATTTGACGCTTGTGTTCTTTTTAATTATGATGAAATTCAGAAATTGCTTCAGAAAGTTTCAAATATTTTTGTTGTGAAAACGGTTAATTTGAATTAAATGAAACTACTTGCAAAACGTATTGTGTTTCATGACTTGCGTACAGCTTCTTTAAGTTATATTTTTCTTGATTGGGCTGATTTTCAAAACCTAAAGCTTAAAAGTACCTACGATTGAATTTCAGTTTTACGTATTGTATACTTTGCTTACTTGTCTTGTTATCTTTCAAACACGTGCCATTCAAACACGTGACCAAGTAAATTAACGTTTGTATTTGTTTTCAGTTAAAATAGGCAATGTCAAGCTAAATAGAACTGTCACGCTTGCAGCAAATGAGTCGATGCAAATTTCAAGTCTGATGTTTCCGGAGATGTTTCCTTCGGGAGCCATACAAGATCTCATTTTTAGAACAAACCTTGGCTACACGGTTAATGTTACGTTAAATTTCACAAGCAAAAAAGGCAACCAATGCTCAATGGATTATTTAGAGCTAATTGACATCTCTTTGAAAAACGACTATGACGGTTTGAAATGGTATCCCTGTGTGAATTTAACTGATGGGCTTCATGATTCAACGGAGATTGAATTTAGTTCATCACTTAATGCTGTTAGGGTAGTTATATTTAGTGGTGTTTCTTATACCGAGAAATCATCATCTTTTAAGATTTCTGGAACAGTATCGTCGATTAAAGGTGAGTGCTAAATTAATGAGATAATATTTTTTACTTTTTATAGCCACTGGCCTTAATGTGGGTAAAAATCAATTTGACTTAAAACATATTTGAAAAACAATTTGACGTAAAACATATTTGTATTTCAAGAAATGTACTATAAATACACAATCTGGGTGGCACTTTGAATGTACAATTATTAGGAAATATATTACATAATTGAACAATTATTGTCCCCAAACTTATACCAATTGTCTTACGGAGTAAGCTAAACTTCTTCATATTTGTTTGAGGTAAATTGTGTGGAAAATGACTAAAGAGTGCCTAAGCTATGTTTATTCTTCATCTGAAAATAGAAATATTTTACGGCAGAAAGATTAATATCATTACGTTACCATGGTGATTGAATAACCATTACATTGAATTATTTATTGAATCAATTGCCAGAAAGAAATATTAATCTTTTAGAACAGATAAACGAGGTTCACTTGTATGCAATGTCTATTAATCAGAATAATAATTATTTTAAACCATAGATAAAGGTAAAAAAATCAATAAATTTGAGCTCCTCCAATAGTAAAGCTGGAATGTCACCATATGACCTATACTGTGTTGGTGCGAGGTAAAACCCGACAAAACCAATTGTGCTGGCTGATATATGGATATAGTATATAAGTAATTAGACTTATTAAACAAACGAAACTTATGAGGGCTGTTTGCCATTCTTTTAAGAAAGTAAGAAACTTCCTTAGAAATTTTATGGTTGACGTGTGATACACATAAGACTTTAGTGCCCGAAATTAAGATCAAAGGAGAAGCTAGCAAAAACATTAAAGTTCAAGGTTTTGTCATCCGGCCATTACAGTGTCGATGTACCACTTGATCAATACTGAAACAAAAAAAAATATGTTGTAGTCATTTTTTACATGCATATTCAATGTTATTTTCAGATCCGTTCTTTCTAGACAAAACAAAACAGACAGATGGATCATTTGATGAATGCAACGAAAATACGTGTTTAAATGGTGGATTGTGTTCAAATCTTACTACAGGGCGGTTTTTGTGTAAATGTGGAGCCCAATATACAGGTATATTTCACCTCGGATTAATCAAATACGATATAGCCTGAATGGGCCCTCAACGCCGTTCTTCGAACATTCGTCAGAAACATTGTAGTTTTTCATGCGAGGAAGCTTGCAGCTAGTTTAAGGAAGGCCGGCGGTTCTACTCAAGTGTCAAAATATATGCCAAATCTTTCTTGTTTTCTCCTAACCATTCCAATCAAACCAAAGTTTGTTTTGTTCTAACGGAGACATTTATTAAAGACACATGTACTAAACTTGAAAACAATTGATTAATATAATATTACCATTCGATCACATATGGTCATTATGAAATATGGTTTGAAGCATAAGCAGATGTGCTCATATATTGTCATATGTTGCTTGTAATGGGAATTAAGATCTAAAGAGAATGATTGCCAAACTATTTTATGACATTTTGACGATAAGTAAGGACATTGAAAAGGTGTAGGCGAACCTAAAGGTTGTATAACATGTGTTCACATGTTTCAGCAATGCTATTAACGCTCTAGTGTATAGCTTTCGTACTTTCAATATAAAACAATTACGCCTACTTTTAAAATCTAAATGCTTGTGTTAATGTTTATAATTTATCAGTTATTGAAAATACCGCCTCGCTGTTGGTTTGTACATTGCTCATACAGAGGCATTTTTAACCCAAACGTTTCATGTCAGGTTATAAAGTTCCATTTACCGACCTTTATATAACAAGTATCTGTAAATAGCAACGGTTTACAGTAACAGAAGTAATCGTATGTTATATAAAACTCGTATTTACAAGTAAAAAACATTGTATCCGACACATAATTCTAAAGTTCTGTGTTGAATTTAGCTCATATAACGAAGGTATAACACAAATGGTAGGCAGTAAATTATATCACTATTTCCGTTACAGGATTGTTTTGCCAAGCCACAAAATGTGACGTAGGTTTGAATCCATGTGATCCGAAACATGCCAAATGCCAGCTTACTCTCTCTGGCTACAAATGTAATTGCGAAACCGGTTACTGGGGTAAAACTTGCAGTATGGACAGCAACATGTGCCACTATAGATTATGTTCCGGGAATGGAAGATGTGTTTCGATCAACGATACGGAGACTGGGTGTCTTTGTAATGACGATTTTACTGGTAGGTAAAATTCTGATTAAAAAAAAATCTGATTATGTACCTTGTCAAAGCAGCAATCAGTAATCATCGACAAATGGTCCGCTTTATGAAACATTTAACTGATGCTGCAGACCTAATATCATATCATTGTACTTTTAAGACACAACGTAGGTTTTGTCCAACTGAGTTAACAACATCGCAGTGTTTGACTCCCTTGAAAGTTCCTAATCCTTCATTTTACGATATTTAAAAAGAAGAATGTTCATATTTTGTTTTTGTGCTACTGATTTCTTTTTGGTATTTGTATAAACATTTTTTTATTTTAAACCACAAATTTTCTATTGCAGGAGCAAAATGCAGTGTTGAAATACCAAAGGCTGAAGAAAAACTAACCATTGGCCAGAAATTGTTAAAAGAACCAATTTGGATAGGGATGATTGTAATACTGAACCTTGTTCTCTTCTTTTGTGTTTCTTATGTGATCCGAAGAAAATGCGGGAAGAAAATAGCAAACTTGTTTCCCAAAAAGAAAACTTCAAACAGTAGTCCTAAAGGTAAGTCGATTTTAAAGAAACACCGGAAAAGCGTTGTTGATCTAAGCCGATTATTACGTTTGATTCTAAACTAAATAAATGTAAAATACGTGGTCAATGTAATTCCAATAATCATCGACTTTGCAGTTGTTTTAGAGAAAATATTCTTTGGACAGCTTTCATTTTTATCATCAACTAAAGTTTTAAAAACCAGTTTAACACTATTAACAAACAATTCTTTCAGTAATAATACGAATATTTTTAATATTATGAGGGAAATCCCAGTGAATCAAACATACATAAATGAAATATACGGATACCTTTGAAGTTTCACACACTTTTGCATCATATTAAAAAATGTAAAACCCAATGATTTGCTTGTAAGGAAACCAGAAAACAATGTAACAATAAATTTACGCATACATACTACGTTTATTAAAGGAAATAATGGCGAAATATATATTTTAAACAAAAACTGTGTAAGTATGTGTTTTCATAGTCTAACTGTGTCATCCAAAGAGAAAGGTTAAAAGGGTTTGTAATTTAATAAACGCGCCCGCATAATATAGAAGAGGTTGTAAAGGGTTCGCTTACAACATGTTCCCTTGCTATTTTAGTTGTTTTTAGCAATTATTTCGTCTTCCACTTATTCGTACTTTTATAAAGATTCTTCTTAAAATTTGGATACTTTGGTATGATTTTTGTCAAGCAAAAAAAACAAACATTTTAAATTGTACTGATAAGCGAACAATTCATATGTTGCTTTAGGCCCTTTTGAAATGTTCGGTAACCTTAAGGCAGCTAGTGGCGATGAATATACCAATGCGACCAGTGAAGTCCAAGATCAGCAGACACAAACTCGTCGCCAGAAGATGGTCTACACTGTTCGCTTTTATATCAGTATTCCATCCGTGATTTTGCGTAAAAATCATATATGCTTTCATCCAGATTTTAAAAAATGAACAAGCGGCCCATCTATAAGATATATAGCGTGATAAAAGTTAAATAAGCACGTTTTCTATATACTACAGAAAACGACAATTCTAAAACAGATAATTCTTCTGCAAGTGTGGATCACTATGACAAACATGTTAGTACAGTTTCCCTCAAGACACCAACACTTGTAGACAGGGAATCAAGGTGGTCAACAAGGACAAATATATACCGTGAGAATGTAAGACCCTATGGACTGTCTTAAAGTAGTCCCTTCTATCGTTTAGTATATATACATTTAAATTTTTATCTTTTTTTAAAAGGTTATTCTATTAAAATTTGCTTCCATGTTTTCCGCTTGAGCAAAGCAACATTTTCCCTTGGATTAAAACTTGATTTAGTTTCACTTAAGATTTACAATCAATCAGAAATGATTCTTTTGCAAATTTATATGTTTGACGCGATACTGGAAATACGAGTAGATTTTTTATCTTGTTACCTTCAGACATTGCTTATTGAATACATTAATAATGATACAATGTTCTATATTAAGTGAGGCAATCAATAATTAATAACAGATTTTGCAGATGTTGCAAAAATATAAATACAATAAAATACACAGCATCTAATTTGGTTTTGCAGCTGGATAGCATAACAGCTCCGTCAACGCCAGTCGTAAATGAGGAAAACCAAGATGCAGCAATGAAACTTTTCGCGGCCTACAATACTAAAAAGCCAGAATTATCACCAAACATTACAGCAATTCAGGACAACAATTTACAAATCAAAGCAAAAGATATTATGTCTTGTGGTATACAAGGTGGAACTGTAACATTAAATCCCGACATTGATGTAGAATACTATCATAAAGATCATCCACATGGAATACTCCGGTCATACACAATAAGCACAGAAATACGAGATTTTGAATCAAGAATATCAAAAGCTAGGAAGGAAGCGTCCATGAGAAAAACTTCCTCTTATTCCGGCTCTCCGACTGTCTCACGAATGCTTGATTCTAAGAGAGTTAATGAAAACGCAGGGGTAAAAATGACACACTGTTTCCCTGAAATAAGAATTATCAATGAAAATAATTGTGAAGAAAAAAACATCAGTGATAGTGATGATAATTTAGATGTTGCTTTGGCAAATGATAACACAGTTTCTAAAATAGACCCGACTGAAAACATTGCGGAAGTTAAACAATCTGATCAACATGATAGTGGCTATCCATCAACCACTATTTCAACAATTCAAGATAGTTCACAAATCGAAGAATCAAACTTAAAAACAATTGCATCTGCAAATGTTAAACGTAAGTTATTTAGTTCAAAGGCTAAAAGCGCCTCATTTTATAAACTTGGTAACGAAAATGATTCGAGACAAATCGAAAAACGGAAGGAGATCCGAGATTCAATGATTAGAGATATATCTTTTAAACGTTCAACGTCGGGTGAATTTCGGTCTTTTGAATCTGAAAGGTGTCGATCCTGCAAGAAAACACCAATAGAAAGATGTGCCTACTCTTATGAAACTGATTTAGATATGTTACATAGGTGTAGAAACAAACGACAACATTCTACAGGGTATCACAGTTCAATTAGCCATCAAAGACGGCATAGACGTAGACGAAAATGTGGTTGTTCTAAACATCACAGTTATAGTAGAGATATTGATATGAATTCCCGTGATGTTCACGATCCACAAGTACGTTTACACAAGGAACAATATCTGCACTCTATTAAACAAAAAAGTTTTGGAGAAAACTGGTATTGGCCGACTAGGTCACATCATAGCATAAGACCTTTAAATTCGAGCACAGAGAGTGATTCCTGTCTTTGTTCAGCACAGGAAATGAGGTACCGACATAGACATTATCATGTAAAGGAAGCTTTTTCTGAAAATGATTTTAGACAGAGACATATATCAAACCGAACGTTTGATTCATCACCGAGAATAGATTTTCGTTCTGATGACTCATGTAAGTCAAAACTAATGAGGTCGTTTTTGTCAGATACGTATCGAGCCAGTTGCAATAATTATTCTGTCTCGGATGCTACGGAGAGCTGTTGCCACTATAAACATTTCTTAGGATCCCCAGAAAATTCATCACTTTCAAGTTCCAGAGACAAAACAAGAAGTCCATCGCCAAGACCAAAAAGTCCCCGAAAGCAACCAATAACCACTCAAAGACGATCGGATACTGTTGTTGAAATCGCTCAAGATAATGTGATAAAACTAGATGTTTCGCCAATATCATCTGTTAACTCTTTGAATGTTAAATGTTCATCCTCAGCTAATGGTGAAACAAAACCTGACTTTGATGGAATAAGTAGTACTTATAATGAACCTGAAGTAAAAGTAGATATTGAATCGTATTTGCGTGTCGATAAAAGCGACTATAATGGTGCACAGTATGCATTTGAGGAGAATCCTGCTTTCCACCAAGTCGACAAAGATGAAAATAATCATAAGCATTACACAAATTGTCAAAAATCTCCAACAAGTAATGAAATTAAACTTACGCTGAAAGATTCTGCATATCAGACAAAACAATCTTCAATAGACAAATTCAAAAGCAGTGATTCTTTAGTCAGGGGATCGAATTCGCTTAAATCTAAATCAAGTGACTCATCTGACAGCAAAGATAACCACAGCAGGTAAAGTAAACACATTATACAATTTTATTTTATTTCACACATTATTGGACGCATCAAAGCAAAACGCAATCTTTGGATCCAACTTAGATAAACAATACCAAATATCGTTACAAACACCTTGTATGTATATATTAACGGAATTTCTAATATACGTAAATCTTTTCTAAATTTAGATAAAAAAAAACATAAAGTTTATTTTCATGGATTTTGTTGTCTTAATATGCAAGAAAATTACGAATAAACAACCATTTGTACTTTAAATATGCAAGGTTTAACCTTTTACCCCATGAGCATATTGCGAAAAATGGCCGTTTTCATTGAAAAGCCTCCTGTAACAAGTTCAAACTGCTATGAAACAATGAAAAATGCTTCAATACTAATGAAACTTGGCACAAATGTTGACTACACCATAGCCTCTGTAACAGCATGCTCAATGGTAAATTTCCTGTTACCATGGCAACGGGGGACGTCTCAAAATTGCCAAAAATCACTATTGTGCATTGTTTTTTTCCATCAAAACTGATTTCAAAGTGCTGCAACTTCTCAATGAATTGAGATAGAGTAAAAGGCTTTTCAGCGTCGGTTACTAGTTACCCTAAGATCGACCTGAGGCCATTTTTAGCCTGTCACATGTCCAAAATTTTCTTGGCGATGAGGGGGACTCCGCCTCCTTCAAACCCCCCAAACAGAAGGGGGCACATCCCCCTTCTGGCAACCCCTGATGTAATATTTGGATGGGGGACGGCGCCAAAAAAAGTGGTAACTTTTTTTAACAACATTTCTCAAACGAATAACACTGTTTGGGATCTAAATAGGGCATTTTTTTATTGTTTGAGGCCTCAAAAAGGGGGGGAAGCCGTCGAAACACCCTTATATAAGGGAAAAGGTTAAACCCTCACTTCATCGTACAACAAACACGTAAACGCAAACTTCAAAACACAATGTAGATAGAACGTAATGAAATATAATTTAATACTGCATTGGCTGCTTAAGTATAACAAGTGTAATAAAGATAATGGACATTCTAACATTTCTACAACAGGCTTCAAACAGACATTAGTTTGTGGGATAACATAAATGATTCGGTTAAAGTATTTCGTAAAATCGAGAACAGTTAAATGATATAGGCCTTTAATTTTAAGAAATGAAGACCGAGTTCACAGACACTTACACCAAGCTGCCCTAAAACTTGCCTTGTTAAAGCGTCTACAAAACAAGAAAGACTACTCTAAGGACAGTGCGATTCACACATTTTCGGAAGACGACTTGTCAGCAGATGATGGAGAGACTAGAGTGTAAGTCTTCAAAATCACACCACGTCGCTTATTTACAATCAACTACAACCATCTCTAATTTATTTATTATAGCACACACATCTCAAATAAAAATAGTCAATTGAGATGTTATTTTAGAGTTGTTCGAATTACATCATGTGATTAAAGAATCTCAAATACGTTTTTATTTCAAAAACACTTACATTGCATCCGTCCAAGAAATGTTATGAAGCTGGCATGCTTTCTTTATTTTGGCTAGTTTGTGCAAGTCTATTAAATGGCAAAAATCATATAGCATTTTGTTTACAGTCTTAAGTATATGGTCTTATAAACATAGTTGTACGTTTCAAGATTTCTAAGAAATGGCAGAACGTAAATATATCCTTGAGGGTCGTTAAATAGCTGGTAATCAAGCAGAATATAGACACAACAAGTAAATAGATGTTTATATTCTTCTTTTTTATATTTCAGACCTATAAGGCCTTTAGTTAAACGGACAAGTGGTAGCTTGGCATTTCAGCTGCGGGAGACAAGTTTGTCTCAAGTGATGGAAGAACATTCTGGTGTATCAAGGGACACAGATAATTATAATACTCCGACAAATGAACCATTAGGCGGATCGTTTGATAAGTCAGAAACGCTAAATTCATCTGCAATTCACATGACTGATATGTCCTACACACATAATGATGGTGCATTTCCAAAACTTGAGGAAACTAATGTTTGATGTTTGTAGTATTTTAATATTGATTATCATTAAATTAGACGGTTGAATAGTTGATAAAGGCAATTTTTAAATGTTTATGTTTTGTTGGTACATATTCAAAATGATATAAAAACTATGTAAAATATATTTAATATTTTCAAACCTATAAGTACAGTTTTATGAACAATGCTGTATGAGTTTTGACCGACATATATGGTTTGGTTTATTTCAGCGTTTGGATTTAGGGTAATGTATATTAATATCACCAAAATAACAATTTTGGTTTAAACTACTGTAATTTAAACATTAATTTGGTATGGACACTTAAATTGTCGCGTATGCACATATAGCGGTAATTACAAAGTCAGACCTCAAATATGCTGGATAAAAAATACTTTCAGAAAGCTCTGGCGCTGTGATATTTTTCGTTTGATATATTTGATTTTACGTTTTTGAGTTTACATGTTTTTGACATGGGTATACAGGAAAAGAATTACCTGGTACGCAATGTTTAAGTACATGTACGAATATATGAATGCATATGTGCATATGATTTTCTATTTTGATATTTGTATGACTGCTAAACTGTGATTTATAAATACTTTGTTTATTCCCAAATTTTGTGATGATATTTGCTTTGTTAATTGCATTCATTAAACGTTTACTTAAAACACCAATCTTGTCATGGAAAACACATTTTAAAAATGTGTGGTATTTGCTTTTACATTTTTGTTATTAATAACTGTTTTTGTTTTGTTTATGTTTTTAAAAACGAAAAAAAATGTTGTTGTTTCAGAAAGAAAAAAATCGTTTAAATTGTTATTTAATTACAGATATAATAATATATTATCATACCTCGAATGTTAGTGTTACTATTTTCTTATCAATATATATTCATATTCATAATATGATTGTTACGATTTATATATTATATAAAACAGTTTATACTGTCGACATACACATTTTAATATTCGAATTAAAAAGTAGAAAATAATCAAAAAGAAATAAAAATCAACCCTTTGAAATACTATTTAGCCACAGAAATGAATAAATATTTGGCCAATTAATAACTTTTTAGAAACTTTAACACCCAAAATTACCTTTGAAAACTAAAAACATTATAGCATTTTGAGGCTTAATGGCCCTTTAAATCATATATTTGTAGTTGCATATATTGATAGGGAATTCAAAAAAGAAGAAATTTGAATGTAGAAAGTAGAATGGATATTCAATTCACAAAAAAGTCTTATTTCACGTTGCTTTTTTAAATTATGTAATTTAACAAATATCAATAAAATATATTAAGATATAGACAAGACTATCATAGTGTTATAATTCAATTCAATTCAAATGATTGTTATAGTATATATGTATGTTGGAATTTTAACAACTATAACTGGCTAAGGTTATAAATATGTCATGGCCACAATGTCGAAAATTACATCTGTATAGTTAAGCATTTTTGCAATCATATTCATATTTTCATAAACTGCGCATTGTTCTAAAATGATCAAAAATAAATAAGATGTTACAAAAAAACTGTGCCAAAATTTTGCAATCTCTAATGATGGTCATAATAATGCTTATTATGTAATTTAAAAAAAATCCAAAGAGCTTAAAACTTGTATGTCAATTTTATGTAACAAAACCAACTTGTTTTTACTGTACTTGCATGTGATATTGCATGCAAACAAAACAACAATTTTTAATGTAGAAAAATAATCAGTTTGCTGAAGAAAGTCTTGTTAATCCATTTTTTGTTCTATAGTTTTAAAAAAGAATATTGACAGTGTGTTTTTCTATTGTTGATTTTCTGTCATTGACATTTTTGTTTATGTCAAAGGCTCTACACGATTTTTAGTAAGTGAATTACATAAAATTCTAAAATGTTAGCCGAATATTTTGTGACAAACGAAAACGATTAAAAAATCATAGTATTTCACTTTATAAATATACAAAACCATCAGGAAACACCTTGGTATTTCATTATAATAAGCTAATTAGCCGACGGGATAATATGACGTTCCGCATACTAAAATCAGAAAATCCTACCCCCGAACTTGACCAGCGTTTGGAAAGCAATATGTTTTTACTACTCTTTTGGTAAAGCGTGTCACCTGACGTCAACACTGCAATAGTCAAATTTCAATATTAACGTAAGCGAAACACAAAAAATATAGACGATGAAGGGTGCGCATGAGTATCAAAACTACATGTTTTTCATTTGATTTCCAGTGACAATAAACTTTCGATAAAGAAAAAAATACATAGACCTTCAAGGCTTTTAATGTCGGTTACATAAGGACAAATAACCTCATAAATGTCTTATTCCCTTTGCAATTTCATATTGTTCTCACCAAAAATGAAAATTGATATTAACATTCGAAATAAAAAAAATGTATCTCTAATCTTATGTAAGCATGATTGATTGTCAGTTCAATATGTTAAAGAGGTTAATGTATCATCAGTTGTTTGCTTGTAACAAAAATGTATATTTTGGTTTCTTTTCTTTGTTATTTTTATCTAAAAGTGCAATGCAAAGAAGAAATTATAATTTGAATTCATTCTTTTCTGAACAATGCAAAGAATAAATCATGATTTGAACACTAGTTTTTGTCTTCTGTTTGCCTATCCTTTCTGTCTGATAACAAGGTGATGAAATTGTGTGATCTCATAACCCCCATCCTCAGTCATATGTCATCCTAAGCAAATGTTATTTAACAACATTCTTTCACAAACCCAGTGTAATTTGACCAAACTCCGCCGTTATATTCCATAGTTGTATTGCTTCTTGTATCATATGTCAAATTAAAAATATTCTCTTGTTTATTAAACAACGCTACGTCAGTACATAAATACCATGAAAGAAAATAAATAAAATTTTAATCGTAAAATCTTATTACTTTTCTTCATAAAAAAATCTGGTAAACGGAAAGTTCCTCAGAAGCAATGAAAACAACAATATTACATTAAGATATCAGACTCTGTTTAGATTGAGTCTGTTCATGAAGTATAATGTAAGAATGCGACATCTTCATGACCCCGTGCACTGGCTTAAACCGTATTCAATGTGCTGGCCTGTTGAAGATACGATCCCGTAAAGAAATTAAATATAAAGAAACTCGGACAGTTAATGCAACTTGAAGTATCATTTAGCGATAATTTTCAACTCTGATTCTTATGTTAAAAAACTCTATGCTGCCTTCAAATGTCGGTTTTAAAAGTCTTGACAGATAGCAATAATATCGCTAGCTATATCTTGTTGCGGTCACTGATGTAAGTACTTTACTAAATTTCTATAACGAAACAACGTAGCTTTCTTTCTTTGTAAAAATCATTTAAATGACAATGTTATGAAATTTTAGATTATATTGGAGTTGGTGTGTGGGGGTCATAATTGCGTGCATCACATGTTCAAAAGTCCTTGTCGTACGTGATATCTAAGTGAGCTAACTGAAACCTATATCGGGTATGTGTATTATATACTTTTCACATAGTTTACCACTGTGACAATTGAATGGATCAAATTAGCAGCTAAAACAGCTAACTTGTCTTAATGACCAACCATTACGTTCATCTTTTTGTGGAATTTTCACGACATTTACGAGTAATACATGTAGCATTTCGTGACAAACTTGAAAAAGAATAAAATCGCGCGGATGCAGTCGTATTCGAAACAGGCATTACATCATTACTGTGATAATGTACATTGGCAGTGAACATGGGAAAATAGTTTTTATCATGTTTTGGGTATAATGAATGAATAAATATTATTATACTGCTAAAATAAGCTATGTAATACAGCTAAAATAAACAATTTTATCGATTTATATTAACAAACTGGTTTCAAATAAAAATGGACGTAGACTGATGAACTGTTCAGTATTATTTTATTTTATTATTTTATATATAATTTTAGCTATTTATCTGATGATAAATTGCATTTTCAATACAATGTTCATAAAGGTTTTCAATCATACTCAAAGTGTAAGTTTTATTTTTTATTTTTTTTTATTGTTTTAGACCGATATTAACACATGTTACGTCATATTTATCGGCCGATCAACCCGTCCGTTTAGTAATTATCAATTTCTCCGTAAGTGACCGGCTTATTTATAACAAACACATGACAGTTAGGTTCAATGTTCAAGCTCAATAGTCACGGAGAAACTTCTCCTCGCTGAGGACCCAACCAACTACACCTTGATTTCTAATTCGATGCTCTACAAATTAAGCTAAGCGGACAAACCTGCGAAGTGCATTTAATAGGAAAATAGGACTTGGAAACAAGAGAAAAAAAATTTAAATTGGGTTTCATTATTCCAATGGTTAAAGAGAATTATTAACGTATTAAAGAACAAATTAAAAAAATGTTTACTCAAAAGTGGCATAAGAATGTGATTGCCATATACAAGAAAATAAGAGCAGGAACTAAATAAATTCGAATTTTATTTACATAATTTTGTTGTATAATTTTGAGATGATGAAGGATGGCTGAATCCATACAATTTCATTGCTGAGTTGCTGTCGTAATTTTTATTATTGATAATAATAAGTTTGTATTGCAGTAAATGTTGGGTTACTTTTTGTTCGAGGCATTCAAAATTAAGACTTAAGCCCTTTTGACTTAAGTACTAATTACCACGCCTGCAAAAGTATGATTTAATCTATAAACGCTCTTTAATGCTCTTAGTATAATATAACGACAAGTAAACAAACAAAGTACAATAGCCTGACAAATGAAGTGCAACACCTTGAACGCTTTGAGAATGTCATGAATATCAGATTTTATGCGTGCATCACGATATGTCATTCACAAATTATAGTGTTATCAATCTACTAATTGTGAACCCGGAAAATGTTCTCATTTTTATATGCATATCGCGTTGCATGTTACAGAAGCGTATTATTGATCCGTGTGTTAGTACAAAGGACGACGCATGTCCTGGATATTACAGGTTTGATGTTGCTGTAATGTAATATAAGAATATACTGTTTCGAAGCTCAGACAAAGAAATCTAAACATTACATTATTTATCACAATATGCAATTTGGTTCTTTTCAGACAACGATTCTCATTTTTAATAAAATTTTATTTCCATCATCTATTTTCTGTAAAGATTGTTTTGTTTGGCATTCCGGTGCACCAACACAATTTAGGCCATATGGCGTTTCTGTACAGAAGTCAAATTTCAAAATGTATATATTGCAAATAATATATATACGAAAAGATACAGTTTTCTAAAATGATAAAAAGGCTTTTTTCGATCAAATCTATTTATTAGAATTCATACAACGATTATTCGTCTAACACATTATTGAAACTATTGTGCGGAAGGAATCGAAAGTCAACAATGTTTTTTATGTTATTTAAGGCTGATATATTTAGGAGATTAATTAAACTAAGCTTTTGCAACATTTCATTTTGTATTTCATTGACATATCAAACTATTTATTTCTTTAATGAGATTGATATTTAATCATTGTTTGTTCCGTAATTTTTGCTATAACATAAGCCAAAACGAAAACACCTAAATTTGTTTGTTAAATATGTGTTATACTTTCTGTTGTTATGTGTTTCTGTTGTCTTTTATTTCTTTTTCTATATGTTTTCTCTTTTTATTATTTTTTTCGCCTTTTCGTTACTTTTTTATTTTTGGTAATATTCTTTTTCCACTTCTTTCTTTCTTTTTTAGAATGTTAAAATACATTATATCCACTCCATTCTTGTTTTAAGTCTATCGTCTGGTACAGGTTAATTAAAAAAATAATTCTTTCATACAAGACAAAACTGACATCGGGAGATGATATGTAACTTTTGTATTTATTCAATGTATTTTACTACACCGAGTCTAACGACTCAATCATAACAATGCATTAGCAACTGCTGCATCACTTTACATTTGGTGTTTTTGTTGCGTGTTTTACACCGCATCAACACTGTCTAGGTCATATGGCGATATTACAGCTTTACTGGTGCTGGTACTGGTGATAATCCCTGCATTACTGTTGTGGTGCTTATATTTATTTCTACTTAACCATGTTTCGTCT